TCAAGTCATCTTCCAACCACATAGACATCTTCCTTTCATTCTCTTTTTAAAAAGATTGTGCACATTATCTTCCCAAGACAGGTATCAAAACAGTTCTGAAACCACCCAACTCACAATCCCAATTCAAAGTTACATTGTCTTGCTCCTTTCCTCACAAATCTACGCACATCTTAACAGCCAGGCTGCAGAAATGCATGGCTACGATGGCACTTGTAGGATGACAAGGAAATGCAACCGTTCCTGTGTATTGCCTGTCATTTTCAGAGTAACACTTCAGATCCAAGAACCACAGGCCTAGACACAAACAGCAGACCAAGTCAAATTGCATTTGTTCACAAGAATTATCAGCCCTCTAGCATTTCTTCAAGCTCATCATCTGGAATTTTTTGTGTGTATTGATGCCTCAGGATGAAATGATGCCATCTTCAGCAACACAGCATCTCCCTCCACCACCAGCACCTTTGTAATTAATTCCCTTTTCATGCACAAGGGCACATTCACACTGGTTACTGCAATGCCAAAGAATTTAGCATGGGAGACAGTCGTTTACAACATCAGAGATCACAGATGCACCGCAGCCAGCCTAGCTGGGTAGTGTATTTGGCCCATTTAATTAAACAGGATGTATCACAGCTTCTACACATTCAAACTGGCTGGTGACAGAGACCCACTGCACTGGGTAGCTCAGTTTGAGGATCTGTGCACCAATAAAATATACAGAAGTTAATAAACTTTAAATTGCTTTTGTCTAGTAGAATCAGTCTGGAATAAGGTTACTATAAATCAGAGTACAACAACATTAATCTGTCAGCGTCATCAGCACTGACTCACAGGGATATTCATCCCACAAGGCATAGTCTGTCATGCCCAAGTATGTTCTGCAAAAACACCCAGAAAATTTAAACTTGATTCTCCTAACCACCATCTAACTGCATGCCTAATCTATCAGAAGTCCAATGAAACCAAAAACTGCAAAATAGTTATGAGATGACAGAAAAGGGAAGCTGTAATTTAACACCAATGATACCGCTTGAAACACCACTCTTGAGCCCTAAAAACCAAAAGAATCTTTTTATCATCTTCATCAGTAACATTAACCTCAGCTGTCCCTCTGCAGCATCATCAACTTAGAGAGATGCCAAGAATCAAATCTGGGTTTGTCAAAAACATCAAGCACTACTATTAACAATAATTACACTACTGTAAAATTCTTAAGTATATTCAGTTATAGAAGCCTAAAAGTTCCATTAAGGCTGTAGTGCATGAAAGTAAGAATTACAAAGTACTCCCAGAGCACTCTCATGAAATCATTTTAAAACTGCTTTTTCAAAGTGAAAGGAAGTGTGCTGTTTACCTTATTTTCTTGGCCCCACTGCCAGATGCTTGGAGCTTGCATGCCAAAGAAAGCAAATGGATCCTTGCCAACAATTATTAAGCCTATTAATACTAGTTTGAAGACAGACAGGAAGGATGCTATGTGCCTATCAAAAGACAACACATAAAAGTAACTTAGGAGGTTCACAGTTACTACTTCACCATTATATAGCTATAATTCACCTAATTAGATGATTTTTTTACAGTGTACAATCAAATGTTTTAGAGGAAATACACAACTTTTCAATTAAGTTTATCTCGCTGTAAAAAAACCAAACCAAACAAAAAAGCAACACAAATTAACAAAACCTCAGAACAATACCATTCTTGTATACCATGCAGATTTGGGTTTTTTTTTCCTGTCTAAACTGGATAACACATTCAGTGTCTTAAAGAAGTTGTTCCATATTACAGAGACACATTTAGTTGACATGCACTACTTCCTCATAAAGCATTTTCCCAGCAGATGCAGAAAACTCTACATTTTTTTTTGCACGAATTAAACCTATAGCCAGAGAGCAAATTAACACTGAGGTATTCAATACTGTAGCATTCTAACCATTGTAATTATTACAGTAATTAGGTCAAGAAGTGGTTCAGAAGCCACCACAGTAACTATGGCATCACTCTAGCATGTACACAATGGTTTAAATAACAGGAATAACATTATTTTTGTTTTGCCTTTTTCCAAATTTCTTTGGGCTTCCCATGCCCATAAAGGACATCCTGGTAGTCTCTCCAATGACGTCAGTTCTTCCCTGACTTAGATGTTAAAAACAAACAGTTACCTCCTCTGCAACCTACCACAGGAATTTGTAACTAAGTGCATAAGCCTGAGCAACAAATGTGAATTTATGTCCAGATACATCATGAAGAAAAGCTGGAAAAATTCACTGTGGAAAAAAGTTAATTATTTAATTTAATTCGGATTGGAACACAACAGGCCTCATCATACAGACATCCAGATGGTAATATTTGTATGGAAAACTAAGGCGGCTATCTGGAAGGGAGAAGATAACCAAGCTTATATGTAATCGTAATGGAAAAAACCCCTTAAGTTCCCATTTTCAGTGTTATTAAAGTGTAAATGCACATATTCACCATGCTGAGCCTGCATATTGGGAAAAAGACAATTAGTACTGCTAGTTAGTGCTTACCTATATATAGGTTGAGGAAGGTAGTTCTCCCCTTCAATTCGGATGTCTGGGTACCGCTGGCTAATGACCCGCATGTACTCCTCAAACACCCGCCTGTAGCCTCAGGAGACACTAAATGCAGACAGGGGTCGTCACTGAAACTGGAGTGCTGTACGTTAAAGTCGCTGCTAAACTGGCAACGCCAGCACTTGCACTGTTCATAATCTATTCAGTTTAAAATAAAACTAAAATTCTTCATGACAAAGAATAAAACTGATTTGCAGCTAAGCTACACATCAAAAATCCCAACAGCTGGCTAGGCACTTGGTTTTACACAAATTTGTTTTCACATACTAGCACAGACACAAAGCCCACCGAGCAAGGAATTACTTGTTTCCCCTGTAAAAAGCTGTTAAGTTAGAAAGTCAGTGTAAGTATCACCTTGCTCTGTGTGTCGATGTCGTCCCCCCCAAAAAAAATTTAACCCAATGCAGTTCTAATTCATCAGTAGTTAAATTTAACTCTTTCTGGGACTGCCCACAGATAGGTAACATTGCTCCCAGTTATTTCTGTGTAAGAATGACCAGATTAACTACAGAAGAGTTAAATATTACAGAGCTGTACTTTGGCTCACATTTCTACCAGCTGCCTCTGAAACAAAAATTATCCGGCCTCAGCTTACCGCAAGAAAAATCAAAAAAAGTACTTTCTACTGAGCATGCCTTTGGCAGTGCTTCACAGATCCGCATGACACAACCTGGACCAGACTCTGCTCCGGGGAATACAGCGAATATTCTTGTTCCTCCCTGCCCCGCCAAGGCACCCCGGAGCAGCGGTGGGTCCATCAGTCCGTCTGTGCGTCCCCCCAGCGAGGCAGGGTGAGCTCTGGCAGTGGCTGCAGCTCTGCCGGTGCTCA